ATAAAAGATGAGTATACAACATTAGCCTCATAATACGAACTTTACAATAAAAGTTTACAGTTGAAGTAATAAAATCTAAAAGATTTTAAATGTTAAAACAGAAGTCATTAATAAAACTATAATTTATTGAAATATCCATTTAAGTAATAATAACTGGGTGCATACCAAATTCTGTTACAGTTGGGTCAAGCCAGATTTTTGTCGCTTTACAGATAAAACTATCATTAAAATTTTAGTGACAGAATAAGTGGTTTCAGGATTAGTATCTGCCAACAGATAGGGGACCACCCAGAGTTCAGTAGGTAATCGGTGTTTGGTAAGAACTGGAGTGATCCAAATCGATCTAAAAGTCGATCACTGATGACATAATAGTAGAAGATGGCCAAGTGTTTCCACAGCTCCAGTCTCACAGTTGCATAAGCGATCCGAGTATAGGATTTTAGAAAAGCGACCTGTTAAATCAGCAGTGGGAAAAGAGTTAAGCCTAGCAAGAGTGAAAACACGTCTATAACTAGGTATTTTTAGGGATCTAGTATATGAAGGGATTCTGGAGGAGGAATACCCAAGGCAAGAGTGAAACATACACGTCTTGCTCGAGCTAAAGTACTAGCCCGATCAAGATTAATCACCTTTATTCTGGTCTACTTTAGGGCTTCCTGATAAGTTAAATTATTCCATACTGTTGGAGGAAATAACTCAATAACTCAAGTCTAGCATCTAAATACCTTTCCCAGCTACTTTTGTGGTTGTCCTCCTTTATCAGACATAGAAGGCCACCTTGGGCATTTATTGCTGAGTAAAGGACTTTGAGTCTGTTTGAAAGCTGCGATCCAGGCTCTAGACTCCAAGGAATATTGGGCAAATTCCACTCTAAGTGCAGTACCAGCCACACATCTAGGAACCCCAGCCATTCTACGCAAAAAATAGAGAAGTGTACGATCAAGAGATTGAGAAACTGCATTAATCCAAATAGCAACCCCGAATAAAATCTGAGAAGTTACTTTAGCATTGAAAGCTGCTATGACCATTGGTACATACTTGGTTTTTTTTGGCCCCCGAAGGGGATTTTTTAAATTGCATTTTATATAAGGACTTTCCTGCCAACCTAGCAGTTCGAAAGCAAGAAATTGCAAGTAGATAAATAGGTATCACTTTGGTGGGAAGGTAACAGCGTTCCGTGCGGCTTGGTGTTTAGTCATGCTGGCCACATGACCACGGAAACGTCTTCGGACAGCGCTGGCTCTTCTGCTTTGAAACGGAGATGAGCACTGCAACCCTAGAGTCGGACTCGACTGGCTTTCGAGCAAGGGAACCTTTACCTTTACTATATAAGGACTACAAACTATAATGAAAACAGGGAGGGGAAACTACACATAAGGAGAAAGAAAAAATAACCACTACTAACTAAAAACCCAAGAGAGGAGATCTTCAAACTTGCTTATACACAAAGCCATCCCTTAAAATGCTAACCATTTTATGAACTTAGTCAGATGTGCTGATATAACTTTTAAATCTTAAATTTATCTGTTGGGAAAAAGACCCCTAAGCATCTCAATGTTAACCACAATATTTCAAAGGCACAATTCAGAGTCCTTCAGCCTTCATTTTTTCTTATCCTGTCTTTTCCACAGTTTATAAGGACTTTTAGGAGCTGCCGCCCCTTTCTCAGAAAGAGAGTCCTCTCCAGAAGACCCTGAGTCCAGCTCGCCACTGGACTTACTGTCCTTCTCCTCTTTATCCACCTCCTCTGGCTCACCCAACTGGATTCTCAAGAAGTCCCCTGCTTTGGAAACAGAGTCAATCTTTTCTTTTTTATCTTGAATTTTGAAGTTTACGCCCTCTGGATATAACCACCGGTAGCTAATTGCATTTGTTTGAAGAAAAAGAATTAAATCTTTATATTTCTTTCTCCATTGTCTTATTTCAAATGGGATATCTTTCAAAATCCTGATAACACTGTCCCCAATTTTCAGGGGTGTCCCCATCGTCGCTCCCAGGATAGAATCCCTCACGTGCCTCTTCGAGAATCTCATTACTATTTCCCCAGGCAGATTATTCTTCCTTATGTATATGGACCTGTAGACCACATCCATTTCGCTCATCAGATACTCCGCCTTCAGATCTGTCACTGGGGCCAATACTTCACTCATCATTTGCTTCAGATTCTCACCCTTAGTCTCTGGGACACCTTGGAAACGAAGGACCAGGTTTGCCTTCTCCATTTGTAATTGTAAAAGCTGTTCTTTTGTTGAAACTTGCTTCTTTTCCAATTTTTGTACCTTTTTCTTCACCTTTTGAGCAGTAGTGTCAACTTCTTTCTCTTTCTCAGCTGTTTGTTCCATAATTTTAAGAGTCTCATTTAATTGTGTCTGCTGAGTAGTGATGCATTGGTTCATTGTTGACAGCTGTTCCTTGAGATTAGTCATCTAGTCCAGCAGGGGGTGCAGGTACTCTGCCAACGTTTTGGCCAATTCGGTGGTTCCTTCCGGTCGTGGACTCTCAGCTGGTTTCACTTTTAAAAGTTTCTCCTTCTCCATCCTCTTCCCCGCCATCTTTATAGATTGTTTACCTTCGCCAAAATTCTTAAAGTCTCTGAATATGCGCTCATACACTCATACGCGCCTTGGTAAGTCTTTCCCAACAGATTTCGCCGCTTTTACTTCCGCCTCCCC